AATTATTTTTGCCTCTACCGTAAGCCAGGTAAACATCTTACCCTCCAGGGGTGGAAAAAGAACTTTGTGCATGATAGGTCTTTTATTTCATATTTTGTTAATTGATATAAACTAAGATAAAGTTGAAACAGTCACTGATAAAAAGTAAAATAACAAAAAAACCGAACTCCAAGTAAAATTCAAACCCAAAAAATCATCCCTGGAGTTGTTTACGAACACGGAATTGAAGATGTGGTGTCTCTGTTTTGAGTTCATTTGCAACCAGGCTCATTTCTTTCAAAATAGTAAGTACTTTCAAGTTGGTGGTAATAGGCGTCTTGCATGATTTCACAGAGCTGCACACCAATATATAGTAAATAGCAGACTACTAAAGTATCATACCAATGTTATGGATACAGTACAAGTAAGTATTACATTGAAATGACCAGGAAAATTGCGAAAAAATCTTGAAGGGAAAACGTCAAATAGATTTTTTGGGGAAACTAAAATTGTGATTTTATGTTTTTAACTGAGATGTTACACGCCCCATCCATTCCCACTAAATTATAGTCATTCTATAGAACAAGCGCTGTTACGAATAATGATATTAGGAATTACTAAATCTCGGACACTTCGCCCGATAAGTCATCATTTTCCTATTTTTCAAAAATGGAAGCTAGACTAAATTCTACCCTTTAAATAGTTTCTCTCACATGTTATTGCCACTTGGTTGTGTATTGCTTAGTTGTTTTGCTAGAATTTTTTCCCGAGTGAATTATATTTCAAATATACTAGTATGCGAGATCATTTCTTATCATTAAACCGATAGACTTTGTTCGAATACTTTTACATTTAACATGTTTAACATGAGTGAAACCTACCCGTAATAACCAAAGATGTTGCAATATTGAAATGATTAATTATTTAAAATAATATTTTTTACTACGCATATTTTAGTTCTTGTGGGCCGAGGTGGCTAAGTAGTCTCAAGTTCATCTACACTGATCCCTTGTCTGTCAACTTTAAGGTTATGTGTTCGAGTCCTGCTCGTGGTGAAGTGCATTCGGCCCCGACCTTGACATTAATAGTTGCCAGCTTTTTTACAGCAGGTTGGTGTTCTTCTGCAGCTTCCTCCAGCAATACAATTGGACATCATGATATGGCCATGGTAGCTGTAAAAGGCGTTAAATACAAACATAAATCAAAGTACTGAAGTACTGAACATCGGATGACCGCAGGTTCTTGTGGATGGTCAAAAGCACATGTCACAGAAACAGATCACATCTCTATACCTGAAACTGAGGTTAATTTACAGAGATTTTTTTTTCTTATACAAGTTCGTGCTTGGATGATGAATAAATGACAGGAAATTCAACCTCACCGTAATAACTATTATATTGTAGTGATACAAATCAGTATACCTTAGACTATTATACTAATATAATAATAGTTCCAGAGAATACACTGGTTTGTTGTTATATATTATATTAATATTACGGTTGCATGTATATATAATTTTCATCTATTTGTATATCATACTATTCTACTATTATTATAGTGTAATGCAAGTGCATGGTGGACACTCTTCTGTAAAAAAAAATCAAAGTCTTAAAGGCTGTAAAAGCAATTGCTGCCATGTTAATGTTTTGTGGACTTTTATTTTTCATCCATATATATAAGAATTAAACCTGACAGGACAGGAGTGTTGACTAGTGAGAAGCAAGACGGTTTTAACTTTATATCAATATAAGACTTTAGCAGGAAATCATTTTAAATATGTTTTATATTTTACAAGGAGACAACAAGTTTACCAGGCTAAAGTTGGGGTTAATTATACATGTGCTGAAACATATAACTGAAAAAAAAATCATTATGGATTATCCCCTGGTAGTGTTTGTAACTGGGCAATAATTTCCTTTATTGATTTAATTTTAACCATTTTCATAATTAATTTAAATTAACCATTCAGTTAAAACATTTCAACTTTCCAGACGCAAATGTTGAAAAACGGGACAGAAATAAAATATCTTACAAGACATAAACATGTAAAAAATAAATATATATTTCAGCTTACTAAAAATATTTTCATAATGTTACTTTGACATCATTTCTTAAAACTAAGTCCCAAACATAATTGCTCAGTTGACATGTGTCATCCTCATGCGATACGAGATAACTACAATTCTGATGCAATCCCGAAAAGGGGGGTCATCACAAACAAACATGACATTAAATTGTCATTATACGAACTAGAACAAACAGCTCTATGTTGCTTTGATATTTATCAATTTTCAGGAAACATGTGAAATAAATTTCAGGTCCATTTCATTATAGTGCCTAACAAGATTGTGTGAGGTAGACGAAATTGACCTTAAAACGATCGTATTGTCTTTTGATGTCCAAAAAATAGGCAGATCGGACATATAAGGACTTTATCTAATGACTACATAAATTTGGGATTTATTATTATTATAATATTCTAATGAAACTGAAAATTATATTTTTTTTTTAGGATAAACAACAATTTTACCTGGCGTAGCCGTTCATAAATGTTTTTCTGCATTTATCTTCGAAAAATGGCGTATTTAATGGAATAGAACGTTAATACAGTAAACTTTCTCTTTTTTCTCCGCAATAGGCTATCAAAAATAATTTATCTAATGTGTATGTGGAAAATTATGTGAAAAGATAAAAAGTGGCAATTGTTACCTTTCATACCTTAAGTTTCGTTCATCTGATTCTGACCAATGCTTATATACTAAATATCTATTTATATGCCGCTATTATTGTTGTTGTTACCAATTATGTAAATCAATTGTATCTGATTTTATGCCCTTTATGGGCCCTGTAATTTGGGAAATAAAAAAAAAGTCTATTCATTGATAAAACGTAATATGGACTGGTCCAGTGTCCAGTTTGCAGGTCATTTAATTTTCTGTACACATTCATGCACGCTCTGATTTAATCAATATACTCGTACGAAAAAGCATGAACAGTTTGAAGGTAATCTAATAATAACTTAATCCAATCAAATTGCATAAGATTCAATAACAATGTCAAGTCCACATCATAATGAGTAATAGAGGTAAACTGGGTAGGGAGAAAATGACAGATATTTCAAGTTAATATTTATGCAATAACGAATTAAAATTTGTCAACCAAAAGTTTTGCTACAATTTCAAAAACATGTCGTTCTGTATGGGTATAGTTTTCGGATCTTTCATTAGCGTATTTAAGGCTATAAAAAGTTTGGGCTTCAAAAGTTCACACAATTATTGACTTTATACAGAAAATTCGTCCTTGTAAAACATTTAATAGTTCACAAATGATACGCGATTTTAAAGTAAAATTATTTCTTAAAACACTGCAAAAAATTTCATTCATATTGATAAAGTGGTATCGTCATAAAGTGCGTTGAAATGAACAGTGGTATAGCAAACATCGAATTCCCTCACAAAATGTTATCACACACTACAGTAAGGGGAGTCAGTTAAGTTTGTCTATTTTTAGATACTATACAGGTAATCTTTTGACACTACGTATACAACCTGTGTGACCTTTGTAGTGATTTTGATTTTACGATAAATTCATGAATGAACGATAATTTTATGAATGAACATGAGCACCTGACCTCTTTCTTAAACACCTATTAAACATATAAAACCGTATTTAATAAGGAGATAATTCAGTCAAATTTTCAGTACTAAATCAACAACTGAAATGATTCCATTTTTTGATGAAACATCGTACGAACGGAGAACGGAATCGCAGGTATAAAAATGCACTTTTTTCCCTTGTAATGACCGCGGATCTATAATTTTTATAGATCGGTTGAAATCCCAAAACTAATTTGCATAATGGAAATTTAGGCGATAGCAATACATCGGAATGACCTCAAGGTCATCCTCTGTAAAAATGTATTTTTTTAAAATTTTTTTAAATGAATTTTTTTTGTTTAATTTAAGTTAACAACTTATATTAAGTTGTATTTTTGGCCCACACGGATCTTTAACTTAGTTCTTTATTTGGGTTTCCTACTTTTTTTTATTCGAGCGTCATTGATGATTTAAAATAAGAAGATGTCATATGATTGCAAATGAGACAACTCTCCACCAGAGACCAAAATGACATAGAAGTAAACAACTATAGGTCACCGTGCGGCCTTTCAACAATGAGCAAAACCCATACCGCATAGTCAGCTATAAAAGAATTCTTTTTTGAATGGGATCATGAATAAACATAAACGATTTTTGTTTTCTCATAGTATTGCATTGTTATCTTTTGTTTAAACACTATACAATTCAAAAAACACTATAAAGTGTATAGGTCACCATTTCAAGCTTCATGTGATGCAATATTCTCATATTTTGTAAGGTTTACACACGAAAAAAAAAATCTGTAATGTGTCTTGACTGAAAAAATTTGAAGAAAAAAAAATACGACGAGAGCTATCTTATAAAATTCTTTAATATAAATTAAAAAACACAATTGGGAAAATTGCATTTTCTATAAAAACAAATCCAAGTTTGAATTCTTATTAAGCAAAGTTTTTGTACTTTTTTAAGCAATTAAAACAATTTGTGTTTTTTTCATTTGTATACAATGTTATTGCCATAGGATGACATTTATAAAATCTCACAATTGGTTGCTTTTCGGCGTAAACATTACTTTTTTGTATGCTTAGTTTGGTAAAAATTCTAAAAATGTAGACCGATCATAGATGGCAGAAAGCTCTCAAACTATCATAACAACTTTTCTCACTTCTGAAGAGAACAATGAAATATCAGAGGTACGAACATCGGTGATAAATGGACGACAGTGGCCTATGGAGCTTCTTCTTGTCAGTCATAATAAGTTTATGTGATCAATTTTTTGACTTGCAGACGACTAACCAACAGTTTCACGTAAGAATAATTACAAAAAATTCATATTCGATAACTGTTTATTTGATCAAATATTGTGATGAAGAAAAAACGAAATATAAAACTATGAAGCCGACAGATTCCGTGAATGTAATTCTATAAGGACATATAAAATAGATCGATACTACATGCGAATCAACTTAAAAATCTATCACCATACCATGTACGATCGGAATTAAAAGTCGATAAAAAGGATCAGAATGAATCTGAGAGACAGTTTATATTACAAACAATAAAAACCGAACCATTACGAGATGTCATTGCGGAATGAAAGTGCGATAGTTTTATCTGTATTTCTTGGTTTTACGTCGATTTACCGGCATCTATCAAAAGAGTCCTTGTTTTCAATCCTCAGGTAAACTGATATTATTCTATAGAAAATAGTCATCAATATTTCAAGACTTCGAAATGAATTAAAATTCATTATGTTTGATGCTTATTTTATCAGTTTTACAATTATCTATTGATTGCGAACTTATTGACAATGTCACAATACATGCTTCATTTATAAAACTGGAGAGTTCTGGGAAGCAGGTAGAGGTGAAGTTATCCTTAAAGTAGATCAAATGTGCGAGGTATTTCCGAATGGTTCCGAGGAAATAGCTTGATATATATATGTTTATATTCATAATTTAAAACAGAGAGGTTTCGAAATTATGAGTATATTTAGAAGGCGATAAATATTTATTAAATACACTATGGGGACTTGATGTATGAATAGACATATTTGTATACTTATAACAATTACTCTGAAGTAGAAAAAAGTGATTTGCATCAGTGATGCATAACATTCAAAATGATATCTGGAATAACACATATGACACTATGTGATAGAATTTCCAAATACCGAAAAAAAGTCGTGAAAGAATGGAATATATAAAACGAAAGGAAAAACTAAAAAGATCGGATGATACAAAAGTTAAACTTAATGTTGGAGGAGTTATTTTCGAAACATGGGCTAGTACTCTTGAGAGTATACAGGGCACCAGATTAGCCCTGCTGGCTCATCTGAAAGAAGCAGACGAGTCCTGGGACCGGGAAAAGCAGGAATTTTTCTTCGATAGACATCCGGGTGCTTTCACCACAATACTTCACTACTACAGGTCTGACGAGTTACACATTGATCAAAATATTTGTGGCAACATTATAAGAGGGGTATGTTGCATTTGTTTTCTGAATATTTCTTTCTTTTTCATTTTTGTTTCCACAAGATAATCTTCTTGTGAAATTTCATGATATATGCTCATAATATTCACTGCACAAAGTATTTATAATTCAGCTTTTTTCACTCGTCAAAAATCAAGATATGATTGGATCAAATGTGATATGAGATAAAAAAAAATAATGACATTTCAACCAGCCCACAGAAAAACTACCGTGAAATAGGGATAAAAAAAGAGATATGAGATACCAAAGAAAGACCGACAAAACCATGACAAAAAATGAAAATCTACGAAAAAACAAACACCAGTTTTCAAAACACTACTATACATACATTGTGTATAAAAAGCTAACTAAAGACTGAACAACACGAATCCCACCCAAAACCGGGTGTTATTTCAGATGCTCCAGAATGGTAAGCAGATCCTTCTCCAAAGGTGGAACACGTCGTGTTCATCGTGGTCTTCAACGAACGACAAGTACCAGCAACGCATTTTCTATAATATCAAATCGCCCCAAGTTCAGACAAGAAAATCAATTTAATGTAAATCACCCGAGATATAAAGACCAAACTATTTAAGACAGAAGCAACCACTGCCGGTAGCCGGTACTTGTGCTTGTGGAATATCAATCTTAGGACTATAATCCGTTCAGTAGACAGTGTTTTGGTACTGATATGATTATAATTTGGTACGCCAAATGCGTCTCGTCTACATATGTCTTATCAGTGGCGCTCGAATAAAAACATTTGCAAAACCAAATCAAATTGAATGATACATTTAGTCTGCAAATGTCCACTTCATTAATATGTTTTAAACTAAAAATCCCTGTTCAGTAATAAAGACATGTAATGTAAGATTTATCTCCGTCAAGCGTTGGCGTCCTCGGAGATTTGCCACCTAGGGGCATTATGTATTTCGGTCTGTGCGTCCGTTCGTCCGTCCGTCCGTCCGTCCGTCTATCCCGCTTCAGGTTAAAGTTTGTGGTCAGGGTAGTTTTTGATGAAGTTGAAGTCCAATCAACTTGAAACTTAGTACACAAGTCATGTTCCCTATGATATGATCTTTCTAATTTTAATGTCAAATTAGAGCTTTGACCCCAATTTCACGGTCCACTGAACATAGAAAATGATAGTGCGAGTGGGGCATCCGTGTACTATGGACACATTCTTGTTCTGTATCGTTTTTGGCGTTGTATTTTTAAATGTAAATGCGTTACGGTTCCGCAGATAATAATTATCATAAAAGTATATTGTAAGAATTTTCAGTAAACTTTTGACTAAGTGTACATGGAGAAGTATATTAAGAACTATTTATTAAGTAACCAATAATCAATTAAGTAATTATAAATCACATAATGACATACCTTAAACATTATTATTTTATTTTGTAAATTAGAAACCTTATACGTCCTAAGACAAATGGGCGCAGTTTAAGTTAAATCGGCAAATAATAATTGCTCCTATATTATCATGATCATATAACCTGATAGTGATGTCTCTGTTAATTTATTTATTATCTTTAATGATTTCCGATTTTGACTATTGCATTGATACACTTCTCAAAACATTTCAAATAAATATGCCAACATATGGCAGACAGCAACCAACGACAACCATAAAATTACCATTTTCATAATAATATTAATGGTATCAATTTTCCTGCACCAGATGCGCATTTCGAGAGTTAATGTCTATTTAGTAATGCTTGAGGCCGAAATATTTGAAAGCCAAAACCTAACACAAACGTTGAAGAGCTGGATAAAACCAAAAATATTTTGCTAATGTACCATAAATGACGTCTTTTTCAAAACATCAAAACTATATAAAAATATAAAGATGGATATTGACGGCCGTATGCATGGTGACCTATTATAGTTGATTAAATCTGCATCATTTCGACAATGTTGAATAGGTGTCTCATTGGCAATATTACCACTTCTTCTTATTTTATATAGTTCCGTGTGCCCGTTTATTTTTATATTCAAGCATTTGTATAATTCGCGTGATTTTCCTTATGGAATTTATTGGAAAAGATGAATCTAAAACTGTATAACCCATTATATGTATAAAATGCACATTACAGGAATTTCAACAGTTTTGATAAAAGCGTAATCTACTTTGAATGCACGTTACAAATGTCAAGAAATGAAAGATTTTGTAGAGAACGGCCTTCGTAGACTTCCGAAGCACCTGATACCATTTCCTGTGGTGTTAGTGTTGCTCAGTCTTAGTTTTCTATTGAGTGCTTTGTGGACGGTATTGTCATTTTATCTTCTACTTATGAAATATGAATGTCACTTTGGTATCTTCTGCTTGTTTGAAAAAATATTGAGAAACATATTGGGTGGGGAGCAAGAAGGTGAACTGTGGTTTATTTTTACCAATAGTACCGCTTAAGTCGACGCTGGGGCCGTCTTGATCTTGTTGAAGGGTATGAATGATTCGTTCATTGTTGAAGACCCTACATCAACTGTCAAGATGAAGAACAGGAATAAAAGCCCTGTTCATTGATAATTTTCTATGTTTTCTTTGTATTATGTGCGATTTTGTCCCATGTACATTTACTCCATATCCTTTCATTTTTTATTGGAGTCAGACATTTTAAATGGATAGCCTAAGCAAAAGCATGACGAGTTAAAAAATTACAAGGACTTATGAAAACTTGAACAATAAACATCCTTATTCTCCTTTTATATCGCCCCACATAAATTTAAACATTATGATTGATTTGCTATTTAACGTCCAGTGTCAAATTCAATGCATACTCGTGACGAGAAGGTGCTAATGTGAAATAAATATAAACCTTGGTACTAGAATGGATTTTAAATATACTAGTTCACAAGGTAAATATCCATAGAAAGATATGTCACCTTTCCTGAACAGTCTTTGGTATTACAAATGAATGCCGCTTGCTTAGCTGAGTATCAGCAAATATTAATTTGCATGTCTTAAATTTGGCCCGATCTGGGATCTGTCCCACGAATTTTTGCACTCGAGGCGAGTTCGCTACATCTAGGTCACCGAGGAGATTACAAAATTGTTACGTATTTTGCTTTCTAAACTCATGGTCCTAATAGTTTCTTGTTATTTTTTTTTAAAGAAAAAGTTTAATATAAAAAAGAAGATGTGGTATGATTGCCACTGAGACAACTCTTCACAAGAGACCAAATGACACAGAAATTAACAACTATAGGTCACCGTACGGCCTTCAAGAATGAGCAAAGCCCATACCGCATAGTAAGTTTGTTAAAAAATAATCACACTGGAGTTGATACCTGCTTTTAAATAAATTATGTAATCGAATTGTGGGGTTCAGAATTCAGAATATAAAGAACGTTTAATTGGAATAATGGTGGGCGAATTTTGTTTTAGATTGCGTATTGTCGGTCGTTTTTTTGGTCAAGGTCTAAACGCGGTGATTTTTTTATAAGAGAAAATGGTACAAAAAAATAAATGTAAATTGTTTTGTTATAAATTAGACCGTTAGTTTTCTCAATTGAATTGTTTCCTATTTTTCATGTCGGGGCCTTTTATAGCCGACTATACGGTATGGGTTTTTTTCATTATTGAAGGCCTTACGGTTGCCTATAGTTGCTTGCATTTAAACTTTGGTGGATAGTTGTCTCATTGGCAATCATACCGCATCTCCTTATTTTTATAAACATTAAATCATTATAAAATTATATATATCGAAGCAATATAAGCTAATTTAAAGGGTTCATCTATGTATTGAGCGCAAAAAAAAACCTTAATTATGGTTTAAAGGGGCATTAGCTGTCAAATTCATGTTAACCGATTTGACTCAAATTCTCATATTTGATTTATAAGGTGTAATACCACCAAATCATAGTACGTCACATCCGGTTGCATACGAAAATAGGTCGAAAAAAATATTCCCTTGAATTTGACAGTTGTAGGTAATTGATCCTACATTTCATTGCAGTAAAACATTTCTAAGTCATAAACATATATCTTGGGTATTTCAAAGCACCATTATTTCTGTATTTGGGGTTTCTATGGAATATTTTGGAAACTTGAGGTTACATGGTTACTAAAGCTTGTACATAGGTTAAAAAAGGGGGAAATTTGATTGGTTAACTTCCAGTGATGGTTATTTTCTTATATGCAATGAAATGTTATGTGAAATTTTTTCTATAGTACTGGACAGGATAAAACTTTACTCATGCCAAGTATTTCTTTATTTGAAACAAAGATAAATTCTGCACAATTTTTTGAAAAGTGCAAATTTAACAAAGACTAATAGGGGAAAATCAATGGTGGTATTACACCTATAACATACTAAAACGTATATCTAAATTACAATAAGTCTGAAATAAACAATTAACAATGCATGGACTCGATAAAATATATTAGCATTTCGTGTGTATTTCAGTCTAGACGCCATCTAATTAACTATCGAGATGACCTCCGAAGACTTCCGACGGTCACATAACCCGATATAAACATAAACATCAATATAAATAGATAGCGACATCGTGCAATTGGACTTTTCTAGGTCTTTTTGATTTCACGTTATAGGTTAAAAAAATAAGTTAATAATCGATTTTACCTCTATAAGAATGATTTTTTGTGGATCGAATCCGTCAACGAAATGGTTCACCTTTGTTTCACTTTCAATTTTGACATGCTTTTCCTTTTAATGGCTGAACACGACCAATATATGAGTAACCAATCTCTAGCTAATAGGTTAAATTGAAGGTCATTTGAATACGGATTCAATGAGGTCAAATTATTCACTTGCAAGTGAATAATTCATCAGCGACGTTTCTTAGCTTATTTTGACAAAATTGAACTAAACTGGCTGCTAAAAGCGAACTATTATTTCACAATTTCACTTTCATTAATGATTGAACCAAAGAAAATCATATTTTATTTTGTTTTTTTATATCTCGTAGCTAATGCCCCTTTAACGACGTTGATAATTTTACACTTTTTGTCCAGTACAAAAATGCTCTGTATAATTCCCGGTCGC